AAAAATCACTCAAAACTTTTCAATTTCTTAAAAACAGTGAAATGAGCTGTAAATAACATAAAAGAATACAAAAAACAAAAAATTCTGAAAAGCAAAGTATAATTAATGATATTTTATCTTATATTGTCAAGAGAAAAAATTACAATGAAATGAGCTATATCCCTTAATACAAATATTAATTATTTTAATAAAAAATTAACCAACTTTCAGTTGAAGAAAAAAAAAAATCATGCAAAACTTTTCAATATCTTACAAACAATGAAATAAGCAAAAAGTAATATGAAAGCAACTAAAAAAAATAAAATTCCGCGCAGACTTTTACTCTGCAGAACAACTTTATAAAAAAATTCAATAAAAATGTATTATATATATATATATATATGACAATGAAATATGCCAATCTCTTAAAAACAGTGACATAAGAAATTCGATGAAAAATTGTTGCCAAACCCATATTTCTAAAAGAATGAAACTATTCAAAATGATGCGATTTCATCAAAAATCTATCAACAACAATAAGACAGAAAAGTTGTTGCCAAAATCACATTTTTAAAGATGTGAGATGTGAGAAGTGTACTCGGAAGCTTCATTTAAAAAAAAAAAAAAAAAAAAAAAATATTATCATTTTCCCCAAATTCTTTTTGTAAAAGCAGTCGGAAGGATGAAAGTTTAACGTGTTCAAAAATCAAAGAAAAATAAACTGTACACTTTTAAAAATAAACTTTTTAAGAAAAAATCCCGTTGAAAAGGTGTTAAGCTCTCTTTGTTAAATAAATTCGTATTTACTCGATTTATTGAAACACGAAATTTATTTTAGGTTCGTAAAATAGCTAAGTGCCTACGTTTCATGACGATGTGAAAATGGAGTGTGTATAGTAAAATCTCGCTTTCATATAGCCCATTCTCAAAATCACGCGATTTCGTCACAAAATTATGTCTCAAAATCACGCGATTTCGTCACAAAATATAAAATAATTAAAAAAAAAAAAAAAAAAATTCGAATTTGAATTTCGAAAAAATCGCTTCGAGGTGCATTGACGCTTGTCTTAGATGCACTTATGTACCAAATTTCGTAGCCGTCTATTAGCTTACGCGCAACGCGAACGAAAGACACACACACAGACAGACTCTTTCTTTTATTATATGTAGAGAAGATTTATCTATAGCGATATGAGATTTAACGGAAATAACATATTAAAAAATGTTTAAATTAATTTGCTTTAAGATGTTATTATTTTCAGCCTCTTGCGACGATTTATCATTTGAAATCCTCTATAAATTTGACGCAGTAATAAAAATGCTAAATAATAAAATGATAAAAAAAAAAAAAAAAAAAAAAAAAAAAACTGAAATGTTTCAGATTTTAAATTACGTCCAAAGGGGCGTTTTTTTAACGTTTTGAGTGTTACCCTTATTTATTAAATATCATGTTCTTTGCACTTAAACCATAAATTCAGTTCAAGAGCAATATCGCAAAATAATGTTAAATTAAGCATATCTTTAGAATTTTCCGATATACACAGTCTCGCGAGCTGGAGATAAAAGTATTTTTTTTTTCTATATAACGTTGCCATTTCTCGCTTTTAAAGCATTGAGTTTGTAAATCAAAAATTCGTTAAAGTTTTACAAAATATAAAATCTATAATAAAAACAAATTCCAAATTTGGGTATTTCAGATGCCCATATTCGCAGTAGGATTTCGTCATTCAAAATTCGATGGCTGTATGTACCATTGTTTTATCACAATGCGAGAAATAGACAATCATTTATGCAGATTTTTCATTATTTAATTTCTTCAAATATAATGCAAGACTAACATTTTGTGGCAACAGTTTGAAAAGTGAACCGACGTTTATGAGTCCGACGCAAAATCGCAAAACGAAAACAATAGTCCTTCAGGGACAAAGCCCCTTTGGACTAAAAATTATATAAAATACAACATATTGATTATATTAACATATTGATTATTGATATATCCAGATAGTAAATAAGTTTATATATTTAATCATTAAATAAGTTTTCGATTTGATTTGGTTAATTCGTTAAAACAAAGTTGACGAATCAATCTATTTGAGAGCAGGCCTTTCGTGGAAAGCATTATAATGGAAATTGGCTTGTACTATTACACTATTAAATTACTATTACACTTGAATAAAGTAAGAAAGCATACATGCATCACCCCCCGTTTCCTGTGGTATCAGCAAGTTCGAACTATTCAGTGTTCAGTGGATTTAGTCTCTTCGCTACCGATACTTACCGGTGATGGTATTTAAGTGAACCTGTGACGCCCGTGACCCGTGGACCGTGAAATTTAGCTACCGCCAATTATAAAAATGAGCGGAGATCCCTTCAAAAGCAGCGCCAATCGTTCTCATGAAATTTTGAAGCAATTGAGACCTCTTTATTTAACAAACAATCAGTATTCGACCCGCTTCGTTTCGCCCTTCACAAAAAAAGGTTTTCGTCAATTTCTGCTATTTTGTTGGGCCCTCCCTTTCTTGGAAGCTCTGTTTAAAGCATTATGAATACAAATTTCCAGCAGATAATTGTTCCAACCATGGAAGCAGTAAGAGGAGAGGTCGTAATTGGTTTTTCCTATGCACTGCTTTGAAGCAGTGGCGATCCCCTCGTGGAGACCAAAACATTCCGAGACTTGCCATTAATTTTATTAACGGGTTTTGGCATGATGGGATGTAAACATTTTGTAATTACGTCATAAATATACGTATTAATGTATATTGTTGCGTGCGTACGGGTTCGTAATGAATCGAATGCGCAAGTCCTATGAAAAGTGAATAAAATTTTATTATTATCACAACAAATAAAAACAAAATGCTTAAATTTCCACAGATATGCGTACAATATTGCAATATCTCCCAGTAGTTAACCTTGTAAACTACTCAAACGTTCAACAGAACTAAATTTAAAACATGGAAAGCTAATCTGATTTCACCGCGAATTTGCTACAGTAAACAACAGCAGTTTTCTAAACGAAATTCATAAAACAACTAACTAACGAAGAGGGGTTTTCATGCCGCTTACATAAGCTTTTTAAATGTACGGGAATTTTCTGGAAAAGCAAAAGCGTACAATTACGAGATATATATTTATTAAATGCGCTCGGTCCTCTATTTTTAATTTTTCCGGCGTAACTTTCTCTTCATATAAGTCGTGTGCAGCATTGCACGAGGAAATGAAATAATTTAATAAAAATTCTATTAAAAATAGCAAACTAAATGCCAAATCCGTAACAAATACTTTTTTTTTTCTACAATATTTCTGAGTCCTAAGTATGTGAAAAGAATACATTTTTAAACATTTCATTTTGAACGGAATTAAGTGTTATACTTTTCCCAGAACATTTTGCCAAAAACTGTTTAATTTGAATGAAATATTTTCACAAGTTTGCGTTAAATACATTAAAAAAAATTCAAGTTAAATCGATTTTATTTGGTTAAGGATTACAAAAATTAAGATCAAAGTTTATTGTATTATTAGTAATAAAATTCCGCATCATTTCTTTTCTATTTAGAGAGCTTTTTCCTGATATACTTTCTCAAATATGATATGATTTTTAGCTTTTGAGGCATCTTTTAAATCAAAAATCAGAGTCAATTTATAATTAATGCCCTCTTCGGTTCATTTCAAATTAGAGCACCTTTTATTTTAATAGCGAAATACATTAAATATTGCTGCTGATTTCCATGTACTTAACTTTATCTAAATATTTCTGAAAAGGAATAAAAAAAAAAGGATTTTTGTTTAAATATTATTTAAAACTTGTAACTGAGTTATAATAAAATGTAAGAAAATAATTCTTTTAATACTCATCAGATTTTTTTACCCTTAATTTCAATAATACTGTAGAGTCATTAGGTTAATTGGAAACAGAAAAGATGAAAAATATGCAACCGCCTTCGCCGGGAATCGAACCACGACCTCTGGAGTACCGGCCCAGCGTGCTACCGTTACACCACAAAGGCACGCTAGGAACGTGGGAGAAATACCTTATATACTCCCCCTTTTTAAAGGGCGACTAGGGTTTTAGGGGACCTAGTCGCCAAATCCTGGGTGCAGAGAATCATCATCCACAACCCTTTTAGTTCGAGCGCCACTTGCAGAGTCATTAGGTTAATTGGAAGCAGAAAAGATGAAAAATTAGCAACGCCTTCGCTGGGAATCGAACCACGGACCTCTGGAATACCGGCCCAGTGTGCAGAACAACTACACCACGAAGGATCGCTAGGGGAGAAATACCTTATAATACATATTCTAAAAATTCTTTACTACTTAAGTACGCATGTCGTAGCTTTACTCATCATCACGCTTTACCACAACACACAACACCTTTTAATAAACTGCTTTCCAGTGCGAACAATTCTTGCTTAAATAGTTTTATAAACGTACTTGTCAATAGAATTTCAATTTATGTTTACAATTAAAATTTAAGGTTATTATATATTTACATAATATATTTAATCATTATAATTCAGATCTCTTTAATAACTAGATTTCTTCACAGTAACTTTCACAAGAGTTTATGAATGAATAAATCCTTCATTTCCAAATACATTTATAAATATTTAATAAATACTTGCGTGTTTGTTAAAGGCAGATACAGGTGACAGGTGAATGCAGGGCCCGGACACCCGGACGGCTTAATATGACAAATCGGGTGTCGTCCGGTACCCGCACCTATTTAGAACAACACAACCCTGGCGACTTCCTGAAAGGGCTGCATCGGAAATATATTAATGGAGAATATGTGGTATTGACGTGGCCAAACAAGGGCGCGTGTGCATATATATGCTTCAGTATACAATTAATAAAAAGTTTCATACATAGGTACATTGGTGGTATAGGTACATTGGATACATATGTATATTGGTCTAAGGGGTTAATGAGATAGGCTAAAGGCAGATACATGCTTTTTGAAAGCATATGCATAAATACCCATATATATTTCATATTTTTTTACTTTCGGCGTTAAGATAATGCAGTCAAACAATTGGCCCTATAAGCAATGAGAATAAAAAAGTCAAAAATATAATGCTTTTTCATTATTCTAAATAGTGTTAACAACGTTTTATAAACTTATAGCTAACACAGCACGGAAGATGAATAATATATCAAAAATGAGTAAAATACTTAAAAAATTATACAATTAATGTTAATAAAGTTTTGCTAATTTATATTAATGTCTTAAAACAATGCTTCTTTATATTTCGAACGTTGAAAATTTAACAGCCGTATTTTGTTTGAACTTCGTTTGACCAGCTAATCGAATATAGTTGTGTAGTTGAAGCACGTGCTTAACTTTCTTCACCCTCCACCGGCTCTGGTTAAGGGATGATATGATACTAGGTGGTCATGCCTAGCATATGTAATTAAAGCAATCCGAAATGGGAGTACTGAAATAGGAAGTACACTGGTTCATTACTTTCAGCATCATTCACAGAATCCTTCTATTCAAGCCGAAGCAAAACTTATCGAGGAAAAAATAAGAAACTTGGAATTTATTCTATGACTATTATCTTCAGCAAAATGTTGACGCAATACAAAGAGATTTTTAACACGAAATACAATTACAGGTAAGATGCAATTCAAAAAACCGTTGTGTATAATTAATTCTCAGAAATTTATGTGAGCAAAAAGAAATATGATGTGACTATTACAAACTGCTAATATATAAAAATTAATTAAAGGAAAATTAATATTCATGTTTTTAGGATTTAAACTACTTTTTATAATAAAAGTTGATGTTGTTTTCGATATCTCCATATTAGAAAGCAGTTTTCCAAGCATTCGAATAAGGCAACTAAAGAGAGACCAAGCCATAATCCCATCTGACCTCCTATTTGACTTAACACTTCAGAATCTTCAAACATCGGTTTCTGCTGATATATTAAGTGCTCTAAAGTGTCGTAATAAATATTCACTTTAAGCCTAGTTTTTCGAAGCTTTTCCTCTGATACTGACTCTTGTAGTAATCCATTTGCCGATCCTGTTTTGTTTTCCTTATATCTTACATTCCTATAAACGTCTAAAGGCCACACAGCACTCGAGATCTGCATCTCATAATGCGAATTTTCACAAGCTAACGAACACTGACAGTCATATTCAGCTTTAGTTTTCTTAATGTACATACAGCAAACTTCTGTATCATTATCAAAATCACAGTATCGGATATTGTCTGCATTATCATAGAATGGTATAGCACATGAACAAGTGGAATAAGTTATTTTCTTAACGCAATCTATCTCACACTTCCGTTGATTATTTCCTGGCTGATAATGGATGCACTGGTCTTTATATGGATGCGGCAGTCTCCGGAAAGAGACTTTAGAGATAGCTACTGACGTTTCGAATCCAGGGCTTACGTTTAATCCATCTTCATGTGGATCTGGTTCGTTGAATGGATCGTGAATAACAATTCGCGCCCCCACTCTTTCCGTCATCCAAATATATTCACTGATTTCTAAATTCAATTCTAAATTCAGTCCATAGTCTGGCCCTATATCAGAAGTCTTCAACGGAGGTTTGCTTTCATTGGCTTTGTTAAATGTGTAACAATTTCCATATATAGAGTCTTGATATAAAGTGAAATTAGCATGTGAGCAGACTTCTCCTCTGAAGGAACATGACCTGATAAATGCTGGCTTTTGATGTCCATAATGATGTCGGGTTGCTGCATTCAATTTTGAATATATAGTAAGAAACTGCACCCTTTTTAAAATTACTGGACTTAATTTCTTATTAATATTTTCAATACAACTAGGTTGCTTGATACGAGACATGAATTCAACTTCTGATTTATTCGAAGACATGGTTTCATTGCATAGTTCATAACTAAGTTGTTCAATGAAACAAGATACAAAAGGTTTTCGTATCGCATTAAAATTACAGATAGTAATTGCAGGGAAGGTTAAACTAAATTCACTTATTGAATTAATATTAACAACTACGGGATATTTGGCATAAGCTGCTAAGTAGCGTAATATTTGTGAACTGCAGCCAAAGAGTCCTCCAATCATAATAATACCCCATAATAATTTACGCCCTGTTGATTTAGAATTGGCAATTTGATTTAAAGCATAAATAGATGATCTTTTAAAAAACATCGCTACGACAGCTTTGAACGTAAGATTTTTTTCAGTAAGATTACTTCCATAATCTCCAACGTCCACTGCGAAACTTGAATTAGAGCCATTCTTTTTAAACTGATATTCTTGTGATGTATTTCCTTTGTTACAGTTGTGTGCATTGTTTCCTTGGAGATCTTCTTGAGCACTGCATCTAAGCGATAATCCATATTCTTTATTTTTAATTATCTGATTGGTTTCCACTTCATGGCAGGATGTATTATCCACAATAAATACTCTTCTTGATTTTCGAGAGTTAAATGTGGAGTTCGTAATATTTTTATTGATGTAATCCTTGTTCATTGCTCGGATGGGATATTTCAGTATAAAAAGAAGAGAGTATAGAGAGATACACCAGTCCCTCATTTACATTAGTTAGAAACACTGTACGATATGTTTCTAAAATGCAATGTATTTAAGTTCATAATCCCAATTTATGGCAATTTTTCTTCATGCGATGTCAATGCTTGTTATAGCAATACATCATCTTATGCTACTGCTCGTTCGAAATCAATTTTACTTGAAAAAAATACCTAAAACTTTGTTCTTTTGTATTAAATGAGAGTGGTATTACAAATTATTGATCTTGAATACATCTTGCTTTCTTACTACACTGATGAAGGAAATAGTAGTCAGAATTCATCAAATTGCTTTTTCTATCAAATTTAACACTGAGCCTTTAGGAACATAATTTAGAAGCGTTTAACTTTCAGCTGGATGATAAAATTCTAACACTAGGTAAAAAACCTTATACTTGAAAGATATTTTAATATAGACATATAAATATACTCCTTTTTTAATAATTATACTCAAGTCTTAAGGTAATAAAACGCTGAAATTATTTTATTTCAGTCGAAAGCAGTTAGCAATTTGATATATATGTAATAGTTATGGATATGGAAAGATGAACAAGTTTAATGAGCTATCGTTCTGCTTTCATTTCGTAAATTCCTAAAGAACAGTTGCGAGATACCCTATAGAAAGCCAACGAAGATCTATAATGAAGATTAAATTTGCAACGAAAATGCTTTTGTTGCTTTTATCGATTAAAATTGCGTGACCTATTTGATTGCAAACATAAAATGGCTTCCAATTCGTAATTATTCAAAATAAGTTTTAATATACGATGCGTGTTAAAGGCTTTCAAACTGTTTGGATAACTATCGCTTTGCATGATTAAATATTTGATACAACTACTTATTGATTATTTCTTTCAAACTAGTTTTCTAACCCAACATAAAATCAGGCAAGTGTTGAAACCATTTTATAACCACTAGACATGTCATGTTAACTCATTAGCAAAATACAAAATTTTATTAATAGATTTTGATGATACTCTGTAATGAATGCTTACTGTGTTTGTTTGAAATATGTATCGATTGCAAGCCGTTATAACAGGATAAAATTATTTTCTCAGAACACTACATGATATACTTGGTTTATGTAGCTATAACTTAAGCTTTTTCAACGGTAATCAATACATTATTCTAATCAGCAGTAAATAAAAAAATATTGTTAACGTAACTTCTTCTTCTCTTGAACTGCAAACTAATTTTTATCTAAAAAAGTAGAGAAAATTCATTGCTATTCTAATGCGACAGCACATTTTTCTGTTACGGTTACGGTTATATTAGTGCTATTTTCTGTGGAAGTTTCGTAAACTGTTTAATTTGACTTGTAAAAATAAAATACTTCAAATTTAGACAATTTTCAATGCAAATATTGGCACATTTCTCTTTTTAAATTTTCTTATAAAACTGCTTTACTTGGATAAAAGAGAAGAAAGATTTTAGATTGGGACATCCGTTATGTGGTAAAAGTGTTGATAGTTTATCAGGTTCAGTGTTCCTTCTTACTTGCTTGAGGAACATTCAATGACCTGACACGGAACAGGGAGCTTACTAAAGCTATGTTCAATAAATGTGGGAAGTAGACAAGATACACAGGAAGGGTATACGATACCCTTTATTTCTCTCTCTTTACAATGATTTCCGGACTTCGGAATACAGAGACCAACCACTTGTGGTCTGAACGTAAGAATATAAAAATATTAACTAAATTCTAACTAAACTAACTTTGGATTAATAAACAAGTGTCTACTCGAAGATTGGCCGTATATTAACAGAAAGGCCGTATGTAGTACAGAGAACTGTTAACACTACAATACGTTTAAAATTATCAAGAGGATTAAACCTCTGGCCTGGAAGGCAACCAGCAACCGAGTAAAACTGCTAAGGCAAGCGGCCTGCTTCTACTAACTCCTTCCTCTCTCTCGCTTGGCAAAAAGCCACAACTTAAGTACTTGGCGTTCGCCAGACAAATTTGCATAAATAAGTTAAAGCTTTTAATTCTGGCCGGAAGTAGAAAATAAGAAGTGATAGTAAAGATTTAAAATAAAATAAACGTTAGTAAAACTTAAGATCCTTACATACTTCCCGCCAGAGTTAATTAGTTTGAAACTGAGGTCTAAAACGACCTTGTTGAAAACTTTTAGCTCTAGAATCTAACGCGAGGCCAATCTTTTACAAACATTTCACTAGAAACTAGAAATTTAAAAAAAAAAATTCGTTTTTACATTATCAGCTCCATGGACAATTACTTTTCATCTGTACTGCATCTAAACAGGAGCTTTTAGTTGAAATCTGGTTCCTTTCCAGAGATCTGGAAGGAAAACTAGTTTAATGAAATGTTACACAATTAAATGGCAAGTAACATGAATATTTATATTTCTCTTAACATTCTTATTTCATTCATGACTTTATTTAATTATCTCTCCCCGTGCTCTCTGACATGTGTTGTAAAAGAAAACACCGAACACGAATGTGTTTATGTACAAGTGTTCACACTACCGCCTGCAATCAAAACACTAACGTGTTAAAATTCAATATAAAAGGACCTCATAGCACACCTTATATTCATCTCTAAACCCTGAGGTACTATTCTGAAGGTGGCTAACTCTGAAGTGTAGCGTCAGAGAGCCTAACTACATTCATTCAACCTTTAACACATATTCACAATAATTTTCTCTTTTTACAATCACACGAATAAGTTTTACAATACAATAACTTTTACAATATTCAAGTATTTACACATTCCTATTATATATTAATTTTAGTTTTACTCGCGAGTAATTGAAAAACATAATACCAAAATAGGTAACAACTCATTTCTCGCCTTTTTGGCGATAAAGGTAGACCTCACATGAGGTAAAACGTCTTGAATTCTGCCACTTGCAATAAGAATGAAAGATTAACTTAAGGTTTGCAAAGTAACATAAAATTTTACTTATCTTTGTGATATTCGGACATTCTTTTTCACTGCCCAGTCCTGGAAGGTAGCGAAGATTAGCGTTTGGTTTTATCTTCCTTCTTGTGCGGGCTCGCCCTTCAGTTCCTTCCTCTATGAGCTTTCTTTTCCCTCCAGTTCGGTCACCCTTGAAGACCTTCTTTTTCGCCCTCTGCCTGTGGTCTTGGCCGTTTGATGGCAGCTGGTCTTGGCGGAACCGGGACACTTCTCTCTCGTTCCTGCTTGGATCTCGTTGCTGGCCGTTCAAATTTTCCTTGTATTTTGCCTCCGCCGCTGGTGTTCCTTCCGCAATTCGTCGACATTTGCTGCGTAGAGTCCTGTCCGATGGTAGATCTTCCGTTTGGGAGCCGGGTTATAGTTGCCGTTATTTCTCCTGGCTCTCTTTGCATTCGTCGTACTTCTCCCTTCTTCATTCTGGGGGGTGGTCGTGCTCTCTCTTTCTGGTCGGTGGAACGGCTTCTTTTTCTTGTTACCTTCAATTTTCCAACGGGGAAACTTTCTTTTCAATTGCTCCTTCCTCCTAATGGCTTGCCCTTGTGCTTGTCGTTGTTCCACCTCTGGAGCTTGTGCCTGCAGTGCCTGCCGTGCCGGATCCTGCAAAAGATCTTTAAATATTTGCATTTTATTACGGTTATAGAATGGTTTTATCTGGTCAATGTTTGCGGAGCATGTTTCACCATTCCTGGCTTTTAACACCACTACAGCGTGAGTTATTTTTTCTATGACATATGGTCCTTCAAATCGTGGAAAAAATTTGGCAGTTTTATCTTCTGGTGCTGAAGAAAGTGAATGCTTAATTTTTAACACTTCATCTCCTACTTTATAAGTTACTCCCCGTCGTTTCATATCGTAATAAAGTTTCTGTTTTCTCTGTGCTACTTCAGTGTTCTTTTTTGCTTCTTTAATTAATTTTTCTATATCACCCATTTTAAATTCTGGGGCTCTTTGTTGAACATAAAATAATTTATCTAACGGCGTTATAATCTTTCTGCCTAAAAATAACTCAGCAGGAGTTTTGCCCGTTGTATCATGTTTTGCGGTCCTAAGGGCGAAAGCTAATTTCATTGACATAGTTATCCCAGCTTTTATGAAAATTTTTAACATAACTACTACGGATAATTTTCACTATATTTCTATTGACCCGTTCCGCTATATTTGATTGCGGCCGATACGGGACCATTTTTAAATGACGTATGCCCAGTTTTTGGCACATGTCTTCAAATATATTACTTACAAATTGAGGACCATTATCCGATATAACTTTTAGGGGCGCCCCGTATTTTAAAATATATTTATTTAAAATAGAATCAGTAACTAATTTCGCGGAGGCTCGTTTTAAGGGAACAATTTCGGTCCACTTACTAAAATGATCAACCATAACAAGGAGATACCGACTTTTATTTAACTGACTTTTTGGGAAAGGGCCCAATAAATCGATGCCAATTATTTCATTTGGAAATTCGGATTTAATACTATTTAGAAACCCGGCCGGGCGGAAATTAATATAATTAACTGCTTGACATGTTGGGCAGGACTGGACATACGCCCTTGTTAACTTTTGCAGTTCAGGAAAATAGACTGCCTCGCGTACGCGTTGGATAGTTTTTCGAATACCAGCAGCATGAGAAGCTAAAGGGCTGTCATGTAACTCCTGCAGGATATTTAATCTAAGACTAGCTGGGATAACAGGTCGAAATTCGTTGTTGGAATTGTATAAAATAATAGACCATCTATTAGTTCGTAATGGGCCGCCCTATTTCTTATCGCCACAATATCTTGGTGGCTAAAATTTTCAGGATCCTTTAAATACTCATAAATGTTTCCAAACTCAGGATCCTTACCCAGTTCGGTTATTACAGTTTCTCGGGAATTTATTGTACATGCTGTGAGCATTGCCACCTTTACAGTATTACCTTCTTCATCTATTTTTATTCTGGATAGGGCATCTGCTACGATATTTTCCTTTCCGGGGGTATGCTTGATTACCAGATTATATT